AACACTACAATTATACAGTTATCAATATTAATGTAGAAATATTTCTTCTGTCCATCGTTTGTCTTTCCAGATTAAGACTTTGGCTCTCTTACTCTAGGCCAGAAGTGGTATTCAGCAGGTGCTGACCAGTTCTGGAGAACCCGTAGCGGAAATTTTGGAGCGGAAGTTCGGAAAACCGGCAAATACCACCTCTGACTGGAGGTTTTACAGTATCCTTCCCCTGCCACGCCCACCAAACCACGCCCACAGAACTGGTAGTAAAAAAATTTGAATCCCACCACTGCTCTAGCTCCTAGACTAAGCATTTCCCGTCCGCAATTTTATAATAACCATATCACTATAATTTAATCTTACAACAAAAACCCTCTACTTTGATAAACCAAATATATTAATATATAATATGTAGGTAATCACATTTATACTCTTAATTGATACAATATTTATGATGCTACACGTGCCCTTGAAATAGGGACACCAAAGTATAACAAACCAGGCTAGCTGCTGGAGTTCATAAATTTTGCTCAGCTTTGGATGAGTTCAAAGAATTGCCATGTAAGAAAAGCCTTACAGAGGGAATTTATCTGATTATGGCAATAATAATTACCCAGCTGTTTATTGCAGATAGAGAAATAATTCATGTAGGCAATAGGCCGTGGTGGCAATGACACTCCACATTTAGTAAATATGCAAACTGTTCACTTCTAATTAACCAAGCTAGAGGATGCCCTTATTAAATGTATAAACTAAAAGTGCTTTCCTGACAAGTGATGAATTGTTACATTGCACAAACTCTTGCCACAGAATTATTGGAGTGAACTTGGGGCTTAACTTCATTAAGAGATCTTGTGGGATAGTTAAATGAGGATGGACAGCATAACAAGGCCAGCCTGACAGCCAATGATATGTTAGAGCTTAATAAAAATGCACCTTTTTCCTTCTTTTCTTCTTACTGTACAGTTGATTCCACTTTAGATAAAGAAGAGTGTAAAATCTATTGCAATCACAGTGTAAACAGTCATTGAAATTTTAGAGTTGGAATCATGAGCTCCATAAACTAATGCAAAAACATTAGCCTCAAAATTATTTCTTTACTATTCTTTATAATGGTTTCATTAATGGTAATGTTGCTCAATATTGAGGAAATAGTTTTGAATTTTGATAGAACCTGAAATTGTCCCTGAAAGATATGTATCATAAATGTTAAAAATGTAAAATAATTTGTGTTTTTATTTGCCATTCCTTAACAGACTAAATGCACCACATAAGACATTCAAGGATAGTTTGTTACATAAGTTTAGTTTTCATATTTGGAAAATATATCACTGTTAGTTGAATAAAACGAAATTGGTGAAAAACACTTGTGGCTGCACAAAAAAATCCATTCCTAATAATAGCAATAGCACTTAGATTTATATACATACCGCTTTATAGTGCTTTACAGCCCTCTCTAAGTCGCTTTACAAAGTCAGCATATTGCCCTCAACAATCTGGGTCCTCATTTTACTCTCCTCGGAAGGATGGAAGGCTGAGTCAACCTTTAGCCTGGTGGGATTTGAACTGCCAAATTGCAGGCAGCCAATAATCAGCAGAAGTGGCCTGCAGTACAGCTTTGTAATCATTGCTCTTTTGCAAAAATAAGCATTTTTGACTGTAAAAATTTCAAGTCAAACTTAAAAATTTGTTTCCTACATCCTTAATATGGGAACTGGTTCTTTACTGATCCAAATTAATAAGTGCACAAAAGTTAAACAATTATCCTAAAGAAATAACATTTTGAGCTTATCTATTAATTTTTCCAACATTTTAGCTGAGTTCAAAGATTTTGCTAAGCTACAATATGTTTGGTTTGGTTTGGGTTTAGCATGTTCTATAAACCCAATTACATGCTGCATTCAACAAAAACTAATTAAAATAAAACATGGCTTAGCAGAATGTCTGAGTCCAATCTGTATTTGTACAGCATTTTTTTCTTTCTTCTTTTTTTCCCCATGCTTTGGAATCAGTATTGACTCCTAGCAAGTGCCTGAACTGGATTATATTTTAATATTGTGTTTGGTCAAAAGAGAACAGTCACTAATCTTCTGAGTAGATCTAGTCTCCACCAGTAGCTCTTGCCTAACAACCACAATTGAGTCTGGAATTTCAGTTGAAAGTTGTTGTGGCCATTATGTAAAACACCCACATAACCATTTCATTCCATTTCAATCCCAATTCTCCTAGTTGCAGTTGTTAACTGAATGGAGAAAAGGACTGCCAGCCGAAGTGAAGCAGGTATCTCTTTTGCTCCAAGTGCGGAAGAAAACTCCTTCCCTGGGTGGGCTGAATGAGGTTTGGCCTTTGGGATCCAGGTTTCAATTAGCTAGTCCAGCTCAGGAATTCTCCCAGACTCCATGCACAGAAGGACATTTTCAGACAGCCTCTTTGAGAGCAGAAGAGCTGCTTGGCAGAGGGATTCAGTTCCAAGTGGGCTGAATCAATCTGCCAGGCAATTTTTTGGCTGTTGACTTTCCGGAGAAGCCAGGAGGGAAGATTGTAAATGGTGTTCAAATGACAGAATTATATGGAAAAAGATGGATGTACAAGTAAAACTGTTTGATATCTTGATAAAAGATGGATGTACAAATAAAACTGATTGATATCTTGATATCTGAAAAGGACATACAAAAATTAATTCAAGACAATGATTTGGATAATTTCTTTTTTACAAAAGAGATCTGTTAAAGCTTTCAATGATTTGCTGAGAAGAAATAAGAGATCAAAGAAATCAAGCAGGAGGGCATTATTTTAACAGAATAAAAGTTAAAATTGTTAAAAGTGCATGTAAAGAATGTGGAATCAGTTTATTTGATCATGGTTTTAAAATAGTTATGTAATTATTTCTGGTAGCCTTAACAGACTTTTGCTGAGTAGGAATGAATGACAAGGCCTTAGAATTAGAGTTAATAGTAAAGAGATCAGTTATGGGAAGAAGAGTGCATTTGTTCTATCTTAAGAGATATTTTTTTTATTTAATAAAAATGGACTTGTGATAAAGGGGGAAGTTACTTCTTTATTCTTTTTTGTTCTATTTTCCTTTTTACTTCCTTTTTCATTTTTCCTGCAGTTTTCATTTTTATATTTATTGTAGTTCTTATTAGTTTTTATTTTCCCAATTGTACTTTTAATAAAATTATTTTGAAAAACCTACAATCAACGCTAGTGAGAATTAATCTAAAACTCCATCTACACACAAAAATATTTCATGGGAATGAGCATATGTTGTTGGTCCTGTCCAGTGATTTTCTCTTATGAGCATAGTGCCCCAGGTATTCTTCTTACAACTGTGTGAATTCAACAGCTCAGGCAGCTTGTCTACAGTTTCAACAGTTTGGAAAGGATTTTAAGGGAACAAGTGACAAGGGAGCAAAGCACAAGCACCTTCTCCAATTATTTTTTCTCTGAAAAGTCTGAACACTCCTACAGTCCTGTTATGAGTCCAATACAGTTGGGAATCTCATGTTTGTCTCCTAAATTCTAGCCTGACCCAATGGTCTCCGGTGTTGCCCTATTGCAAATGAAATTTAATGCCACAAGCCATAGCAAAAAGCTTGTGGCTAACAAGTTCTTATGAAATTAATCTATTTCTAAAATTAATAATATTTTTCAGTTGATTGCATCCAGCAAAATATTAAAGAACAGATAAACCACTGTGTATTTGAAATAGTAAAAGGGAATCTAAGTGTACTAAAAAAATCCTTTTATGAGTGTTGTAATATTTTCTGAATACTGCCTATCTCTATGAGACGAGTTTTTAATTTCATGAAATCATTTTCTTATTCATAACCCGGGGCAGTTTTTGCATACGAGGCGATAGGTTACAAGTGTACACCTCTAGCAAATGCATACTCAGCCTTTAAATTAATCAAACCAATTTATCTTTTCTGAGAGGCACAGTATCCCTATGAAAACATTATCCTATATATGTGCTACATAAATATAATGACAAAATGGCCTTTCCAGACATCTAGCTTTCTGATCTCACAACTATAACATCAATTATATGTTTCCAAATGGCATTAAATTTCTAACTACATGTTTATTATTTGTATTAACAGTGAATGTTAAACCAGGAAAAATGCCATTATCACTACAATAACAAAATGTACAGTACATTGGTCTATAACAACTCAGCATAATATTTCCTCTGAACAAAAACTATCTCCAGAAGGTTAAAGTAAATGTAAATTGTCTCCCAGAGTTTCTTAAAGGAAAAAACAAACCTGCCAAATAAGGCTTCTCCCATTATTTTAACATTAGAATAGGGGGGAAAAAAACACCACACTGAGTGATATATAAAGATACAGATGCTGTCTCAGGATTTAGTCCTATAGCCTAAAAAAGCAAAATAAAGCCAGAGAAATAAAAAGGATGGCATTTGAAAAATTGATTTTAAATCAATAGCTAAATTCACCATGGAGGAATAGGGATTAGATTAATCTTGGGCTGGCCCATTCAAGGCAGATTTTCTCAGGTGGAGCAGATGACAATATGTATTCCTTGTCTAAACCTGGCAACTCTACCTACTGAAAGTTCGTACTAATACAGCATAGAATTATCCTAGCCCCATAGTACTTACTGTATCCTTTGCTCAGAATTACAGATCACAAATACGTTGCAATAGCAAACTTTTAATAGTACTGCATTATTCTGCAGATTCACTTGCTCAGGAGGTCCACAGTACTTTTTCTACAGAGAGCAATTCTCTGTTTCATGCATTTAAGTTTTGCTCCAATTCAAATAGGTTCAATTGTATCATACTTACCTGCATGCTGATATAAATGACATAATAATTTGAAAAGACATACTTAGGTAGAAAATAAAACAGACCAGTTTTCGTACTGGGATAAAGCAGGCAATTCTTTCTATGATGAGTAATCTAATTAGCACTATGAATTATTTAAATCTATTTTAAAGTTACCATTTTAAAATATCTATTTTACCACTCAATACTTTCATTTTACCTGACCATCTCATTATTCAATGCAACAACTTCCAAGTACTTCTTTAGTGCATAATAATTATGGATATATTTTCGTACGTAATAGCCTCGCCATCTTCTTTGAATCTAGCGGGAAAAAAGAGTACATATATTTGCTTCACTGAATGTTGGGGTTTTTTGCAATAGAGAAATAACTGCAAACATTATAAGAAATATCTATTTTGTTCTGCAAGGAACATAACTGCTTCAACGCTAGCATGTGTATATATTTGCCTATTCATTTTATGGATACATATTAATATGGATAAAATTATTATACTTACATAAATACATATATTAGTTACTTGGCTACTTGCTGTTAATAATACTGCTAAGATAAATCATTAATATTACATTAAAGTGAAATCAAAGTTGAGAAAGATAACTTAATACATGTAGTGAACAAATGGGCAGTTGTATTTTACATTTTGTATTTTATATTTTAAAGTAGCATATTATAACAATATTGGTATATCACATAGAAACCCACTTTTTCAACTCCATCTGTTAAGAATCATAAGACTTTTCATCCAAACAAATGGGAAGCTAATTAAAGTATCTGCTTCACCATCCATCTTTTTATAATATCATAATGTAATTAAAATCTTTTGAACAGATTGTGGGAAGTGGAAGACTGTTCATTTCTACCTTAGTAGAATGAAAATACTGATAAGAGATCGTATCAAATATGTTATGAATCAGGATTTGCCTTTACACCATATAAAACTTACTTATCTACCACCTTCAGTCTAGCAGCTTTTCAGAAGGTGGAGGCATATCAACGTTCTTAGCTAAAAGGCACGGCTTGTACCTTTGCTCCTTCAAACATTTTCGGTAAAACTATGTTGTTTAAATAGGCACTGGATAATGAAAAAATGCCCCCAAAATTATTTAAGTGCTGTGAAAATTCTGATTAAATTAATTCTATATTCAAAACTTGTAATAAATAAATATAATGTTCCTGGAAATAACAATGACATTTCTGACTTTGCCCAAATTTTATTATGCACTAAACTAGAAAACCTATAAAAAAATGAGCTTGGATACTTAAGAAATTGCCAGAACTATCCTGGTAATGAAGAATGACGTGAGATGGTATATAAAGATATTTTTTCACTCGTATGTCTCCATATTAACTAAGTAATTCAAAATATGTTCATCCTACTTTTCTATTAAAAGACACAGTGGCTGTTAAAATTCAGTACAAAAAAATAAATATACACTATATATATTTGATACCCAAGACAAATAATATATCAATCAGTTCAGTAGGCTAAGAACCAACTAGGAAACAAAGTAAAAACAATGAAGCCACCTGGAAGAAGTAAATTACTTAAAAAATATGAAGCCCAATATATTTCAGACATAAGGAGTTCAATAAAAGGGGTTTTTTCTTTTCTCTTTTCTCATCTTTTTCAAAATAATTATAAAATACAAATCATTCTTTTTAAAAAGGAAAGATGGAGCGTCAATAAGCTTAGAATAATTTGTTATGAGCAAAACATCAATCTCTGGTCCAGTTAAAAAAGAGCTAGCTGTTCATCTAGAACAACATTAATTGTTTTAATTTTAAATAAAATATTTGACAAACTACTTTGCCAATAGCTACATTTTACCATTGTAACTGGCAAAGGTCTTAAAACTAGGAATATAAAAAGTCCATTCTGGGCTTGGTCTCTTCCAACTCTGAGCATCAGTAAGGTAAGGCACTGCCTCTTCCATGATCCGCGCTTGTCTGTCTCTGCCTTTGTGCCAACTTGCACCTGCTTGTGGAAAGGCAAGCAGCCCCAGAACTGCCAGCTCTAGGGTTACCAGCTATGCTGCAGTTCAGGAGTTTTTTGGTTTGCCACAGCTCCAGGGCTGCAAGGAGCCTTGAGCTGCACCAAGCATCAAGCCTCAGCCACCTCAGCCACATAGAACAAAGTTGCAGCTGAACATGGAGTACAAAGCTGCAGCTTTCCCAGGAATCTGCAGCCACCCCAGGAAGCACAGTGTGAAATCACAGCCCAACAGTGCAATGTGAAGCTCAGCCACCCCAGAAAGACTCAATAGTGCAACACAGAGTCCTAGCTGGCCCAGCTTTACCCGCCTTAGCCCAGCCATCCTGCACTCCGAGACCTCCTCTCACTGTACTCTCTGATATCCCAGCTTACTATTGCTGTCTTCTTGCTCTCACTGATGATGAGGCATGCGCCTCCTGGTACTTTGCTGACCATGTGAGTGAGAGACCATCTTTCTCAGGTCTCACAAGGAAACTGCAGTGCAAGACCTGGGCAACAAAGCCTTGTGTGGCTAGTAGCTACTTTGTGGAAGGTTAGGGCAGGCATGCATGGTCAGCAGCAAGAGCAGAAGATGACAAAAGGTCAGCTAGAGCAGCAAAGACTGCAGAGTACACGGGACCAAAAAGCCATAGATGGAGGGAGAAAGTACGAGGGGACGTTGAAGTACCCTTGCAGTTGTAAGTGCAGGCAGGCTGCCAAGTGCCAGAATTGCTATCATGTGACTGTAACAGCTGTAACTTTGGGGATTGTTCAACACTACAATAACTTCAAACGGTCACTGAATTGTTGTAAATCAGGGACTACCAATGGATAAATGATTTTTTTCAGCTGATTTTTTTTTTTAAAAAAATGTTTGGTATAAGCTAATATGTTGCCATACAGAGCTGCTTAGTGTTCACTCTTAAACATAGATATTATATAGCATGTATGTTTGGGGGGAGGAGTCTGTTTATGTAAACTTACTAACTTTAATCATTGCGTGTTGGTAGATTTCCCCCCCTCCCCCCGAATTAGTGCTGTCTCTCATTTTCCAATGCATTCAGGCCTGGATCTTTTGCATACAGGACCAACATGGAAAGGAAAATGCCAGATAGTCATAGTTGTTTTAGAAAAGGACAAAGAACAAGAGACAATATTGCTCTAATATGCTGGGTAATTGGGGAAGCCAAAGAATAGTAAATAGAGTCAACAAAGAACAGTAAACAGATAATAGAGAGGCTTTCAGGTATATTATGTCAAGATGTGGAATGTCTTTAGAAAAATGGGAATCTCAGAACATCTGATTGTGCTCGTGTAAAACAACTGGGTCAGAAGCCACAGTCCAGACAGAACATGGTGAAAAACAATGGCTCCAGGTCAGCAAAAAAATGAGGCTAGACTGTATACTCTCTCCTTAATTATTCAATCTGTATATTGAATATATAATAAGGGAGGTTGGACAGGAGAAAAAAAGAGTAGTTTTAAATCTGGGAGAAAGAAACATCAGCAATCTGTGCTATGCTGGTGACACTATTCTGATAGCTGAAAATGCAAATGCTTTGCAAGCTCTAATAATGAAAGTGATGGATAGCTTCTGCTATTTAGGATCAACTATCATTAGTAAAGGAGCAGCAATCAAGAAATAAGCCACAAATAGCACGATAGGGTAGTAACAAAAGCCTTGGAAAAGAATGATATGCCATGATATGTCTATATCTACAAAGATCAGAGGTGTACAGGCAATGTTTTTTCCCTTTGATTCTCTATGGATGCAAGGAATTAGACTTTGAAGTAGCATGGCAGAAAGGGTATTAATGCCTTTGAATATTGGTGTTTTAAAGGCTTGATGATACATAAATACATAAATCAATCAGTCTGTCAATCAACATTTATATTACATAAACCAAAGAGTCCTACCTTGTATATTTTTTCTCCACGTATCAAATTATTTTTTCTGATTTTATCCAATAATCCAACCCACCGACATACACATTTCATAGAAAATAGAACACTACTTCTATCTCTTATAATTCCAAGGTGAATATTTATCCTCCCTTACAAAATATATGCCCTTCAAAGTAATTAACAAGTTTCTGTGGTGATTGGTACCAAACAATTATTGTCATTGATCAGTACCAAACAGATAATTTTAAACAAAGTCATTGTGTGCTCAGCAGATTACAGCTTGTTAACGGGCAAGTTCTGAATGACCTCTTAAGCTAGTCAAATCAATGATGCATATTCCTCATTAAGTAACATCAAAATTGGTCTTATAAATAATGTTTATTTTAAACGCTAAACAAATGGCAAAACCTTGATATATCAGAAGCCATCTGCTCATACAGATTTTTTTTTTAAAAAAATGGGGATTACTTTTCTTCACAACAATCCTTAAATCTTTCAAATGAAAATAAGACTACTATATCACAATCTAATATTATAAAAGTAAATCTGATTCAGAGAAAATTATGCATTATAATTATTGTTTTCTTTATTATTTTCTGGCTCCAAATATGAGAGTTTGAAATAGTAGGTCAAATATAATTAAGGTACAATGTTAAAGAACATGTGATGATACAGGACTATAATTTTATTCAGCCAGGTGCTTTTCTTTTCTGCCTGTACCTAATTTAGAACAATTTCTAAAATTTGCATACATTTATGCAAGTCTATTGGAAAGTCTTGCATCAATGGGAACCATACTAGATTAGACAATAACTTTTGGCCATTAATGTAAGCTTGTTTTTTAGTCACATCATAAAATGTACTTTCTAAATTTAAGCAGATATTTATTTAGTGCCTGGATGACACCAGTAAAACCTATTTACGAAATCCTGAATATCATAGATGAAGTGTGGGATTTAAATGTAAATGCATGCAACCATAAAAAAATGTTTTTTCCACCTAAGATGAAATGCCACAATATTTAGAAAAGACAATGATTTTGTACTTTTAAATCTAACCAAGATTTTCAAAAGTGCAACTTGGGATTACTTAGTGTAACTTGAAATTTGTAACTATGTACCATTTCCTCACTTTACCATCAGCATATCAATCAAGTTTATATTATTCTGGGTTGCTTATTTTATTAAAAGCAAATTCAGAGCACAATTGACTTTTCATTTGTTTAACAAGTGAAGAAATATTTACCCTGACAGCCATTTCATTGTAGAAATTCATCTTCATAATAAAATATGCTGTCTGTGAAACGATAGAGAGAAAAAAAATGGCATACATTTCAGTTACACAAATACTCTACTTCTATTTTTACATATAAAAGGTAAGAATTTTTATACATAACACATAATAAGAGTTTTAGGTTTGGATGGAATAAAATCAAACTTAGAATCGAAGAGATGGGCTTGCTAATACATAATGCAGGCTTAACCAGAAAAATCTATGGTAGTCAAACCAGCAGCTAATGGAGATATATGATCATAAAATGCTCTCCGCTGAGTTTGATAATCAATGGTGCTCTACTGAGAGTAGAATAACAAAGCAGAAATATTCACAAGTGCTGGTGACATATAGTATTATATGATTTATTCACCAGGGTTCTTTTAACCAAAACTCACAGAAACATAAAAGGAATTCATATTTCAGGATGCCTGGTTTAATGAAAAATTCAAAGAAATGCTGTCTTCAGTCGAAATCGTTCAAGGATATGGATGCAGCGATGGAGCAAAATTGTGCCTTCCAACCATCTGTACTAAACGTTATGTACTTAGTTGCCTCCTGAGTAATCCTTGGGAATTTTGTTTCATTTAATATTCATTCTAACATCATAAAATCATAAATACAATGATAACATGTTACAGCGAATCCCCTGATATATTAAAAAAAAAAAAAACATTTCCTGGTTCCCTTCCAATAAAGATGAATTCCGCTCTCAGTGAAAGAATCTCCTGTTACAGCAAACACTCACTTGGCAAGATAGGTTATTTTAATGGATACATCACTTTACACTAAGCTTTCACATCTGTTCCAGCCTCTAATTACCAATGCAAAATGAATATAATTCACAACAGTATCATAAAAAAAGTAAAATAAGTACTTTCGAGTTAGAAGAACGTCCTTTATTTAGCATAACATGCAGACTCTGGGGGCTTAGGAGTGTGTTTTAACTACAAATCAGAGAGAAAGAACCTCTCCTTGATATGCAGTTCCCTGTACTCTCGATCTTCCCTCCTGGCAAAAAAAAAAAAATCACTGTAAAAGAGTTTCACTGTAATTAGTGTTATTGGAATTGCCTAGTCTGATCTAAAGCAAATTGTCTGTGGAGAGCAGCAGGACTGGATTATTTATCAACTGTCTGGGCAATTAAGAAGCAGTTGGCTGCAATATGTTATTTACAAATGAACACAATGACGCTACTTCATTTTAGATTCACTTTCTTCATTACATTAAGTTGAGGCATTATTGCTTTTGTTTAATTAAGCCACTTTTTTAAATGCTTACCTTAATAACATATTGCTTCCTCAATAATATACCCAAAAGGAAAAAAAAATAGAGAAGAAATAGCTCTTTGTGGGGGGAACCAATATACTTATGCCAGGAAATCCTTCAATTTGGTGATAAGGTTCACCTCCTATCGAGATTCCTACAATTGATAGGAGCCACTGATGGGAATATTTTTCTCTTCTTTCCATAACTCAATTTTTATCTAACTCTGCTTTGCTAGTACGTTTCAAATAGACTGAACTGGGAATGGAATGCTATGGATCAGAGGTGACAAATTAAAACACATATTATTGTGGAAGCCTAAATCCCCAAAAAGTTTTATCAATATCTAGAACTGCTACTTTCGTAGTTTTTAGGGAACTAGTAACTAGGTGTATATATTATCTCTGGATTACATCTATAAAGTGCTGGAATGTGTGACATGATAGCAGGTCTAAAGCAGCTTTTATACTTTTCCAAAATGTCTGATGCTCTATTTTAATGAGTAAAAGAAAAAAGCTGTATAACTCTCCCCAGCTTCATGGATGCCCATTGCTCCATTCATCAAGTATGGAAGCTAGCTTAAGAAATAAAGACATCCTCAAATCAAGCATTACTCTTGAATGAAGACATCCAAGCAGTTTCTTAAATAAGTTGCCTTATTTATTTTTTTCAACTTCTAAGTCTAGTCTACATCCAAGGAATTCACTGGTAATCTTCCAATCAAATACAGGTAGTTTTGTTTAGTGACTGCAATTGTTTCCAGAGAGATGGTCATTAAGTGACACAATTTCTAAGTGAAGAGAGAGAGGGGGGAGGGAGTGGGACAGGGAGAGGAGAAAGAGAGAGAGATGCTGCAAAGATTGCTGATTACTGCCATCTTATTTAAATGAAATTCTCTCTTATAATGTCCTGTACCTGTCATGGTATTTTTTTCCCCTTTTTGCCCTCCTTATCGAGCAAGAATATGCTTTTCTCTGTAGTGCACTTTCCTAAAATGTGCTAGCTACAAGTTAAAAAGCTCAGTTTTGTGATCTTAATTAGTTGATCTCTCACAAGCTCATGGTTGTCACTTGAAACTGGCCAAACCTTAATCGGTTTCACACTGAACACTTTTGTTGTTACTGCATGCATTGGTCAGAAAATTAATTTTTTTATTATTGTTTACTAGTCTATATTTGTGAACAGCTGTTATCTGAGGCAGTTGCTAAAGGAGAATTACCTATACTATTAAGCCTCCTTTTGCTTAACTTCAAATCTCATATAAGGCTGGCCAGTTGTACTATCTGCTGGAAATTCTACACAACAGCAGCAGTGTCCACTGAGGTGGAAGGGAAGATTGAACGGATAAAAGTAGAATTGCAATGTTGTGACACAAGTCTCACTACTTTTCTACAGACACTTGATGGTACACCCCAAAAGGCTGGAACTTGTGGTACAATAATACTTTGACACTTAACAAATGTAGCAGGATTCTGTGGTCACTGCTGAATAAGAGGATAGTGGCACAAGGAACCAATGAGATCCTGTTTTGCAATGCACAAATTCAAAATAACAAAAATATAAGATTTATTTCTCTTTTTTATCCCTGCCTATTTGCTTTATTTTTCAGATATCTGAACACTTAAATATTTGTTCCAATAAAATAACTGCACCTGTTTTATGCTGATACAAATTATGGAAAACTTTAAATATAGTTTTGAAAACTTAATTTTACCTCCACCATTTTTCTGAATTTTTTCCGCCCTTGATATCCCCGCCACCATTTCTGAATAAATACCATCATCTTGTTCAGATACCTAAAACAAAATACTTTAGTAAGGATATAATGCTACAAATTAACAGAGATTTTTACAGCTTTTAAGTTTCTAAATATGAAATTTCAATATCAATTTTATCAATTTCAGTTTTAGAACAATTTGTATTCTGAAGAGTGTATCTTAAGAGTGTATCTCAATGCATTATGTTCAGTATAACTCTTCACGCTGTTTCAAACATACGATCTTTTCAGTATTAATTTGTTGTATAACCAACAAAATGGTTGTTGATTATATAACAAATGTTCTTATTCTTGCATAGCTCCCCCTATGTGTATGTTTCAGTACTTCTTTCTTGTTAACCAATTTGAAACAGCACCAAACATGAAAAAAAAATAATTGCAATCATTTTCTAAGAAAATGAACATTAAACCTAAACTCCCCATTTCATGTAAAAAAGGATTTTATCTCTAATGTAAGTAGACATGCATGTTAGTTTTCAGATAAAGATATTTATGATGTTTACAGCTATAGCTTAAATTACCTGATATATGCCCGGACTTTACACCCTCGAAACCAACTCTGAATTTTTACAGCAGCATAATATTCTGTTTTTCTGTATTCATCTACACACCTGAAAGCAAAAGGGATAACAATTTGTACTGTGATCATTTATATTAAAGATCAGAATACGCAAATAGTTTTATTTTTATTAAATCAAGTGCCTTTATTTATTTAATACCTTTTTACCACTCTTAGGTGTAAAGACAACTTACAATACCCCCTGCCTTACAACATTCAGTATTAAACTATAAAAGCATTTATAACTGAATTGTATATTAATTACCATCATTTTAGTATCATTTTTAAAAAAACATAGGAATAGAAACCATAGAAACCATCAAGTCCAAACCGTGTGTAGGGAAAGGATCCAAATTAAAGCCCTACTGACAAATGTTCATACATCCTTAACAAAGGTTGTATGAATATTAGTTAGGGATGCTTTAATTTGGATTCCTTCCAAAGTTTCAATTACTGAAAAATAGCTTACTAGCTTCCTTATTACTGGTCCCACTCTTAGGTAGTTCATGACATTAGGAAGGAACATGCTTTATAATTTTAGATCATTATTCTTTACTTTGGCAGAACAGAAAATAGGTTTTAACCTTTCAGGTACTTGAAAAGTGCTATCATATCCCCAACTCCACTGTCTCAACATACTCAATTCCACCAGTACTTAGTTTAGTAATGTAGACTCCAGCCTTTGATCATCCTCAGTTTGTATGTTTTTCAGTTGTCTGAATCTTCTAGTGCCCAGAATTGAACACAGTATTGGAGGTGAAATGAACAATACAAACAAAAACGGAATAATTATTTTCTGTAATTTGGAAACTATATTTATGTTGGTGCCCTCTAAAATTGCTTTAGCTTTTGTGGGGGGACAGTCACAGCACACTCATATTTGCTCTGTAACCCCATGTTCTTTTTATAAGCGATATTACTAAGAAAGATATCACCATCTATGGACTTCTATTTTTAAAGTATTATATTTACCAATCTGTTATTTTCAGCTCTCTTTGTAACTCACCAAGACAATGCTGAATATATTTTAGCCAAGAACATTTGAACATCTTTGAGGCCATATAATATGTTTCCTAATTTAAAAAAAACTAATCAAGAGGCAAAGTTTTAGTAATAGAAAATTGGTTATACTTGATTTTTTTGTCTTTAATCTTTTACAAAACCTGACATTTCTGTGAAATCTTAGGATACCCTACAGCACAGAAAAACTCTCCCCTAGAATACAAGGGCAATCTCCATTCTTCTACAAGATTCCCTCGCAGCTTTGCTTAGTATGGAAGAGAGCATACCTTTAATTATTCTTAATGTAGCTAAGGTCCTTCTATATTTTAAAAGACTGATGAAATACAGATTCCCATTTAGCCAGGCATATGTCTGGAAGAAGTACTAGAAGGGGTGTCTGATCTTAAATTTGTTTATATTTCATATATTATCCCCACCTGAAGAACACAAGCATATTTCAGGATTTAAGGATAACCTGAGGAAGTGGCTTCACTTGGTGGATTTTCTCCAGATTTGGTGCACAATTTATAACAAAGAATTTTCTAAAGTGTATTTTAACTAAATTGTGTATATGTAATTCCTGGTTAACGACAGTAATTGTGATCAGAATTTCCATTGCTAAGCAAGGTAGTCATAAAGTATAATGCCAATTGACTTTATCTCTTAGTGGCCAAAATCTAGCTCTTCCCATTGCTATTGATAACTGAATCCCACATCATTATTGGGCAAGAACCCACTTCAAATCAAGTCATTCCTGACTTGGTCCATCCCAGGCTTGAGCCTCAGTGAGGTAAGGGGTTGCCTCCTCTTCAATTCTCCCCACTCGCCTATTTTCCTCCCATTTCTGCCATTTTGGCCACCATGTTTTCTGTTGCTTCTGCTGCCCTATCAGCCCCAGCTGACTTTCATTGTCTTCTACTTCCCACTGCTGCTGAGGCATGCCTGGCTAGCCCTTCATGAGGCAGCTGCTGGCTGCACCAGGCCTTTTCCTCAAAGTGATGTGTAGCCTTGCCAAATTGCGTGCAGTCTTCTCACCACATTTTGGAAGGTTTTGGAAGCCCAGGACAGCAGTTCCACTGGAGATTAGGTTGGCAAGGCCAGTGGAGCACAGATTGGCAGGAACAGCAGAGATGGTGAAGGACAAAGCAGCCAAAAGGCAAAAGATGGGGGAAGTTAAGTGGGTGGGGGATCATAAGTGCAAGTGGACTGCCAAGTACCTGCATTTTGATCACCTGACCAGGAGGGGAGGGACTACAATGGCAAATGGCCAGGCTGTGCTTGCTTCATCAGTAGTGGGAGCTACAACATCAGCAGGGCAGTAGGAGCTCATGGCATCAGGGCCAGCAGAAGCAAAAGAGTGCAGGGTAGCCAAAGGGCAGAGATTCACAGGAAACAGGCAGGTAGGGAGAGTTTGAAGTGCTTCTGCAATTGTAAATGATGGCAAACTACCAAGCACCTGAATTTTGATCATGACCGTGGGCTGCTGCAATGGCCATAACTTTGGGTATTGGGCATTAATTACTATTTGTTCAGTGCCGCCATAACTTCAAGTAGTACCTAAACAAATGATCATTAAATGAGGACTACCTGTAGTAGAAAGTCCACTTATCTTCAGGCTTTGACAGATTTCTACTTGAGGTATGTTTTTTTTGTCCCTTGCTTTCAATAAATGCCTTCATCATATCTGGATAAGAGTTACAAAGGGGAACTAGCAGTGAAATCCTTGTTTATCTGTGTGTTCTGAGGGCAAAAGATTTAATGCATTATGTATTGATCTGTAAATTATACTTGGCATGAAGAATTCAATTTATTTATCCACGGTTACAGTGGATACATCAGTCTAACTGGTATATATAATTCAGCAAGCAGAACTGGATGTTGCTGCAGCAAGGAAGATTAGAGCAAAAGCAGTGGCAGCCGTGGCAGCTAATTATAAAGGGAATAAAATAGTTTAAAATTCTGTCGATTTTTCTCTCTCATTCTTATTTTCACTCAATGATTTAGATGGTTTTATGAATGTCATTTGTATATTGGATTCTGTTTTTAATTAATGATGGGCCTAAACTCCTTTGTTTTTTTTCTCTTTCTCTTTGTTTTTTTAGCCTGTATGATTGTACTATTGTCACGCTATCCCACTTAATTGTTTCTGTGAATCTGCTGACTATTCTGTCTAATAAAACACCGAAGAGTACAAGGCCTAGGATCTTATATTTATATATCTACCGTACTAGACAACCTATGGGCTGTTGGGTCATTTTTTCAGAGATATTTCCTTACCTAAACAGAGAAACAGAATCACCACAGATGAGTAGGAGTAACTTCCAACTTCCTGCCAGCTTCCCTCTGACTTTGAAGGAAGCTGGCAGGGAATATAAAAATGACTGTGACTGCAGCTAACTGCAGCACCATGGAAGCACTGAAGCAAAGGTACAGAATAAGAAAGCTGGAAAGGAACTTGGACAGCCTCTAGCCCAACCCCCTGCTTAAGCAGGAGACCCTATACCAAAGGTCCCCAACCTGTGGGCTGTGGCCCACTACCAGGCCGTGGCCTGTTGGCCAGTGGGCCACATGAATGCCTGGCCAGTGCACGTATGTGCGCATCATCTCCACTCGCACTAGCATCATAGCGTCACACGAATGCTAGCGATGCTGCATCACACAGACACTGGCGCCACCGCGAGCGCACACTTCTTACTTGTACTAGCATTGCAGTGGCGTCCGTGTGCTAGCTTCGCTATGAGCATACATTCCCCCCACTTGCGCTAGCATTACAGTATTGGGCAGGTGCTAGTGTTGCGTGGGTACTCGTGACTCTGTTTGCATCACATGCATCTTCATGGCCCCATTCATGCACATGCTCACAGTCCTGTTTGTATACACGCATAAAGGTGTCTGCTCTCCCACCTCTGGGCCACCAATCCAGAAAGATTGGGGAACTCTGCCTTATACCATTTCAGACAAATGGTTGTCCAATATCTTCTTCAAAACTTCCAGTGTTGGATCACCCCCAACTTTTTAGGCAAGAACTGATTGTTTTATCAGGAAATTGCTCCTTAGGTTGATTCTCTCTTTGATTAGTTTCCATCCATTGCTACTTTTTCTGCTTTCAGGTGTTTTAGAGAATAGGTTGACCCCATCATCTTAAATATTGGAACACTATCTTGTCACACCCTAGTCCTTCTTTTCATTAGACTAGCGATAGCCAATTCATGCAATCATTCTTCATATGTTTTAGCCTGCAGTCCCCTAATCATCTTTGTTGTTCTGCTTTGCACTCTTTTATATTCATTAAAAAATATTGTCCTATGAAGCAACAAACAACCAGACATGGAGTTTTAGTATAATATGGAACAAATCATTCTCTCTCATCTCACCTCACCTCATAGGGTTCTTGTTGTGGGGAAAAATAGGAGGAGGAAGGTATGGCGGCTATGTTCACTACCTTGAGATTTTGTAAAAATAATAAAAATGGGATCCAAAAGAAATAAATATTTATTTATAAACAAATAAACATAGATATTTCAAAGATATTGAAAAATATTTCAAATATTTAAAAGAAGTTAAGACGATGCAAGTTTGTTTTAAAAGTGCTTTCAAACACATTTACATATGGATTTGAAACATTAGAATAGGTTAGAAGCTACTAAAGATACTCTAGTCCCAAACAACCCTACTGATTTTACTGAAGTCCAATAAGTAGGACTTCTGAAAAAGTTCTTAAATCATGGGTATATTTATTTAACAGTCAAGAAATAAGTGGCAGACTAGGACTTCAAAGAGCAGCCATGAATGCCTTATGCAAGCCAAGGTATTCCCTGAGACACTCTATGGAAGTGACAGTTAGACTTTGAAGAAGCAAGATAGGAATAATGTACATGCTTTTGAACTTTGGTGTTGGAAAAGACTCCTGAGAACACTGTGAACAGAACTAGAAAACAAACAAAAGGATCATTGAACAAATCAACTCAAAGGTCTCACTCAAGATACAAATTATCGTACTTTGGACTTACAATGCGGAGACCTAGTTCTAGAAGAGCCTCTAATGCTGGCAAAGATGGAAAGAAGAGAACCAGCAGCAAGGTGGGTGGACTCTATTACAGTGGTGATTATGGCATAGTTAGAACACTGAAAGACTTGATTAAGGGCAGATTGCCATGAAGAAAATCTATGTGGTCACCAAGAGTTGACAAGGATTTCATGGTATATAATCAGTCAATAATTATTCATACCACTGCCCCAAATCATTTGTAGCTTAGAAATTACCACCAGCACTTTGAACTGGATCTAGAAATGCACTGGTAAATAGAACAGTAATACAATGTGATCTCCTTGTTGGGACTTAGAACACCAGTAGATAAATTCTGAACCATTTATAGTCAGTTTGCTGCCCACATTAAACAAAACAAAAAAGAAAGAAAAAATGCATCTCTTTATCTATTGTGTTATTATGGTAATATTCACATTTATTCCTATGGCCCAAATTATTATTTTTTAAATTACTTTTAAAAGTCAGCTATTTGGAGAAGTAGTGATATTTCAAAAACAGTTTCCAATTTTGAAGTATAGTTACAGCTGTCATCATTTCCAGCCTGTCTACGCAATTCCAATGGAAATTGCAAGCTAACACATCTCAACCACAAACTACTAACTAGCCAATTACACTTTAGCCTTGTATGTTCTGCTAACCGGGTCAATGAGTTACTTTATGTCAGATTGCAATGTGACTCTTCCCTCCCCTCCTATTATTAACCAAGTGCAAACAAGTTGTGTTTCCTCAAGCTGTTGTCAACTTTATTCCTTAAAGAATTGTTCAGACACACTGCTTTCTATTTCCATTTAAAGGTGACAAAATTCCCATGACACCTGGAAAGAGCCAAGAGACTCTTTTTAATGCTAAAGGTGAGGAACAAATGCAGAAGTAGCTGCCTTCTCTTTGTCGCCAAGATGAATTTGGTGGAGTTAACAGTCATGGGAATGAAGACGCTGCACTGTTTACTTCTGGAGGAAACTTCACTTTTAGAAGCAGGAAAAAGTATCATTAAGTTTCAGTTTTCCACAATATCAACACGATTCCCTTTTCAATTCCAACGCTCGTGAGAAACTCGCCTTTCTCTGATCTTTCCACCTACCTTCCCCATTACTTTTATGTTACCATGGTGACTTTTTCATAGGCTACACGTGTGAACTCTACTTTGCGGAGTGGGAATTCCCGATTGGGGGGGAGAAAGGTGGGGGAACACCCGCAAACCTGGAATCATCTCAGAGATAAGGGAATCGCTTCTGGACGAATAATTCAAGAACCTCGGGAAGGAGGCCCGAGTTACCTGTTTCTACTGTAATACTCCTCCTTGAAACTTGGTAGCCGCTGTTGCAGCCGAGCCAAAGTGGCCATCTTGCCCCCCACCCGGCTCCCAGGGATGGTATACAAATTTTCGTCATGGCAACTGGATCATACCATCTGATCCCAGTCGCCGAGAGGGGAGAAAGATACCACTTCTGCGGGGAGAGAGACACACAGACAGACAAAAGAAGAGGCGGGTTTAGCTCCGCGGGGTGAAAACGGGGTGTAATAATTTAGGCGAAAAGGCAGCGACGGGGAGACAACCACTCCCGCACGGTTGTGTCACGTCCCCAACAGGGAAACAGTCATGGTCGAGCCCGGTTTCCTTCCAGCGCCGAAGCTGCTTCCGGGATACCACCATGAGGGAGTGAGAGGTGCGGCAGCCCGTCCGCAGACCGGTGAACCGTCCTCCTCCTCCTCCTTCTCCTCTTCCTCTTCCTCCTCCTCCTCCTCTTCCCCGAATTCTGCAAAGCGGCATCTGTCTCCTCAGGGAGCGGCCGACTGCGGGCGCTGAGTACATGTTCCGGGTGGCTCAGCCCAACCCGAGCAGACCTCCGGCCGCCAGGAAGAGCTGGTGAGGGGCGGGGACAGGGGTGGCGAGCGGGGAGCAGAGGAACGGCTGGCCCTGGTGGGGGGAGGGAGAGGGGCGACGGGTAGGTTGCCCTGGGGAGTACAGCCGACGTCGATAGGAAAGGAGCGGGGACCCATTACGAGCTTTGCGTAGAGATATTCTTTCGAAAATCAACTCTAGAGCAGCTGCGGCATGGAGACTCGGGTTATAATTTGGGTCGGTGTTTTCATTTAAGTCTCCTGGGTCAGGCTGGCTTTTAGGGCCTTGTGGAAGAAGTTGGCGTCCCGTGTGTGAATCTCCAAACCTAAGGGGTAATAAAGTTGAGGTTTAATAAATAGACGAAGACTGTAAACCTGTTTCCTGAAATGGGCTGGAAGGAGAATGCAAGGAAAGGGTGGCTGGGATGAGTGGCCAGGGTGTGAATCCTTGTTTTGGAAAAGGTGGGTTCGCCCTTGAGCATCTGCTGAAGTTCCCTCTGTTGCAAACCTGAAAGAGATTGTCATACGTTTACTTGTATTGGGATCACGCTAGGTACCAGAAGACATTGCCCACTGTACCTTCCATAGGTTGGGGAGTGATCAGAATTTAAGGTGTGATTTTTATGGTTGCTGTCAAAGGGATACCTCTGAACAGGATGGTGGTATTTTGGGAACTAACAGAGCACTTCTTTTGCTACAAGATTAAATATCCTTTAGAAAAACCATTTAGGCCATCAATTCATTTTTAGCAGCCTCTTTCTTGCTCTATTTTTTTTATATACAATAGACTTAGATGCTGCAAGTATAGAAGGAAAACAGAAACAGGGCAGACTTGTTTTTCCTTTGTAAACTTCTACAATGCCTTCAGAAATAAAGTCCAACAGAAGTCTGATAAAAGTATTGCTAAATGCAAGAAAAAAGGAAGTTTGCAGTAAATACCAACACATTTGTGGACTATTGGTTTTTTCTTCTAGTATTTCCTCAAGTTCAGGGATGGTTTGTTTAGTGTACCAAATGTTGATACATTGCTTGTAGTTGGAATTGGCCCAGGCCTGAATCTATGGGCTAAAAGAGTAACCCAAGGTTACCCAGTCAGCTTTTATATCTAAGGTGGCACTAGAAATCCATCTCCTAGTTTGTAGGCTGCTGCCCTAACTGCTTGACCAAACTGGCTTTGTCTTGCTGACTTTCCATGAATTCATAGGGAAATTCAGAAGTGTCCAAACAGATTAATGATGTACATATATGGAGGTACAAGAACAGGAGATACTGCAAATCTGGCAAGGAGAAAACAAGGATAAATTAATTTTTATAATTTAAAATATATGACAAATACTGAAATTGGTAACCCTTTACTGTTAAAACAAATTATAGAAAATATATGCTGTAGCTAGATAAAAGAATAGCACAGCAATTTTTGACACATCTACAAGTGATCCAGAATTCATATTCATGTTTTCATATGGTAGAGGGTAAACAGGTAATTGTCTTTAATTGCACGTAAATAAGGCTAGAGAAGAAAGATGTAGGGAATATAGAGCACAGTTAAAGTGTGAGATATCATTGAAAAAATATTGATTCATAAAAGGGAGGTTTAACTCTATAGTGCTATCTAAATAACCATGCTATAAACTTGACTCATTTTATGGGCAGAGCGTAACAACCACTGGCCTCCATGAAGCATCTTTTATAATAAAATGGTGCTTTAAAGTTTGTGAATCCTTTTGGATTTAATATTTCTGCATAAATATAATCTAAAACACTCTCATAGGATTAAAACACTTTTAACTCTAACCTTAACCACCCTTTGTTTGCATGACTTGTCTCTTTTGGATCATCTTGCTGTATGTCACACTTTCTCTTAAGCTTATGTTCATGAACAGAGTAACCTGACGCTTAACTGTAGAATTTTCTGGTACCATTCAGAATTCATATTCTATCAGTGATGGCAAACTATCCTGATCCAGAGACAGCAAAGTAGGCCCAAACCATTATACTGCCATCACATTTCACAGATAGAATAAGGCTCTTATGCAGGAATCCAATGTTTGCCTTTAACCAAATATAACACTTTTCAGTTAATCAAGAAGGTTCTTCTTTGATCTCATCCATCCACAGAATATTCATAGTAGGCTTCTGGCTTATATGCAAGGTCTTTCATAAACTGTAGATGGGCAGTTTCATTTTCTTTCTTCTTGCAATCCTGCTACACACTCACATACCATTGTTGTTCAGTGTTCTCAGGATGGTGGTCTCATAACACTGACATTCAACCAATGCAAGAGAGGCCTTTGGTTCATTAGACATTATCCTAAATTTCTTTGAGATTTCCCAGAGTAATCTATTCCTTATTCTTGGTGTGGTCTTGGTTGGTCAACTTGCTTAATTTATCTTCCATTTGTGTATATCTCAAAGGTGCTGTTTCAAGAGGCAACTGGACTTTGTTTTTCTTTGAAAACACTGTACTTCTCATCCAAGAAACTTCTTCAGCTCTGATTGGATGATGTGGAATGGAAGAGGAAGGCCTCTTTGACCTCTCTTTCAAACCAGTGGTCCTCTCTGTCCAAAATGTGGACTTCGTTGTCTTCAAAAGAGTGGCCTTTGTCTTTAAATGCAGATGGACTGCTGAGTCTAGTCCTGATGTGTTTGTTCTGACACCGATAAACCTCCAGGTGACCTTAACAACCCGATAAAAGAATGCAAATGACCAGCTTTCTTCAAGGAGTATAAATCCTTCCATTCCCCACCATCCAGTCAGACCTGAAGAAGCTTCTTGGATGAAAAACGAAAAGTCTTCAAAGACAAAACAAAGTCCAGTTGCGTCGTGAAAAAGTACCTCTGAGATAACCATGTCCTGGATGACTGAGAATCTCCATAGACATTTGTGTATAGTAAACATCTGTCATACATTCAAATACATGCACGTACAGAGAACATTTGTACACTTACAAGCAGAAATATCAAGTAAAGGATATTATATACTATGAGATATGGAACAATATTAACTGTAGAAGAAAAGAAATTACAGAAAATCAAAGCTGGATTTGTGGGCATGAGAAGACCTAAGTGAATTGTAAAGACCTAAGTGAAAAAAAGAAAGCAAAACTGTTTAAAAATAGCTTCTCCAAGGCAGCAGTTATTTTTAATCTAATATTCAAGGCATGCACACTTTTCAGGCTATTCTTCAAAAGTATCTACTTTTTAAGAAGCAATGCTTACTTGCAGTGATTTGTATCCTGCTCCTTTGTTTATTTTCCACACCATTTTTTCAGCAAACATTAAGACAAACCTCTTCCTTTCCAGAGGTAATTATTGGAAAGAGGAGTGTTTTGTTTTTCTATCAAGTAATTTGTTAGATAGTTCTCTATTTTAAAAATAGAATAGCTTTACCTCTCTCTGTTTTTTTAAACAAAATACAATACAGAAATTAAAAGACTCTGACTTTAATTGAAACACATTTTAAAATATATTTTTGCTTGTGTTTTTATAATTCTATACCCTGAATTTCCATGTAGTTCTATGATGTAAAAAGCCTAGTAAAGATGAACTATACCAGTAATGGCGAACCTATGGCACGTGTGCCGGAAGTGGCACGCAGAGCCACTTCTGCTGGCACATGAGAGGTCACCCGGAAGAGCCCCACTGCACATGCGCCCCCCTGTCAGCCAGCTGATTGTAAGGTATCTGACACGCATGCGTGGGGGAGATGCATGCATGGGAGATGCGAGCACATATGCAGAGGCATGCAGCATGCGGGGGGTTGCGTGTGCATGTGCAGAGGCATGCGGTGCAGGGTCACATGCATGCGCAGGGGAGCAGGGGAGTCGCGTGCGCATTGCATCATGGGTGCAGGCAGACGTGCGCACGCACGTGCACACACTTGGCATGCAACATGGAAAAGGTTAGCCATCACTGAACTATACATAAATTCATAAAGCTGAATTGTTTATTTGGGTAAAATAAATAGGTAAAAGAACCAGATGCTGAACATTTAGCAAATCACTAGATGATTATATGACGTCATATTTTTAATTTATTACATTTCTATGGCCACCCATCACAAGTAAGTGACTCTTGATGGTGAATGAACATAAAACAGTTAAAACAATTACAGTATAATACAAATTTAATATTTTTATTTATATTTCTAGACTACACATTTCCTCATGAAAAAAAAATCAACCTAGATATCAATATAGTTAGGAAACATGACCCTTCATATCCTCTGGGCCTTGGGCCCAGGCTCAAAGCCAGATATCTTCAAGGCCTTACAAAAGGCCAAGCAGATCAGAATTTTGGTTACAGTTATTCAGCATTCTTTTTATACTTCAGCATGTAGCAGTTTTCTTTCAGCTGATGGAATATCATCAATATAATTCAAGCTGCCTTTTTAAGAGACAGATAAGCAAGTCTATTTCCTGCATCCATTCGTAAAGTGATTTTAATGAGATTTCTCAGCAACCTTCAGAGATCAAATTGGAATCAAAATTATGGCATTGAGCAACACAGAGTGCTTATT